TGCCTATGTGTCATGTCCATGTGGCAGTTTTTGCCCTAGGTTGTGAAGCAACCTATATTTCTATCATTCCCAAAATTCCCAAAAAAATCTCATAAATTCTTTGGGGCATATCTTCATCAAATATGTAAAAATCCTTCCTTGCCTAGTTCAAAACTAATTCAACAATATTCATTTTCCTATTATGTTCACAACAACACTTTATGAAGGAAGTGCTATTTATATATTCTTGATTGCCCTAGGAATTTTTGGGCACTCTTTCCTATCCAAATCATTAACGCATGACAAAATTCAGCTCCATTTTCCTAGCAAATCTTCCTCGGCAAATTTCCAAAGTTTTTGTCCACCTAGAAGCATTGTGAAGGAAGTACCTTTTTTATATCTCTAAATGACATGAAATTTATACAGTTCCTTCATATGCCCAAATTATCACCCTCCTCCAAATTGCAGCTCAGTCAAATCATCTATGTGAGCCCAGGTTCAATTTATATTTTATGGCCAAATTGGCATGTTGCAAATCAAGTGTTATATAGACCCCTCCTATTACCCTCAACCTTTTTGGGCACTCTTCCATACACAAATCATTGCCACATGATAATATTCAGCTCAATTTTCCTAGTAAATCTTTCTCAGGAAATTTCCAAAGTTTCTACCTCGAGAGAAGCTTTGTGAAGTAAGTACTAGCTAGGCTTACCGAAATGATCTGAAAATTTACCAGCGCATGACCATACCTATGTAACTTACCTACACCAAATTTTAGCTCATTTCATTCATCCAATCTCTCTCACTAGTTTTCCCAAGTTTTTTTTCCATAGAAGAGCATTGTGAAGGAAGTACTACTTTGGCATATCAAAATGATATCAATTTTCTACAATGCTTTCCTATGCCCAAATAACCATCCTCCACCAAATTTTAGCTCAATCCATTCATTATTTTGAGCCCAGCTTCAACATTCATATTTTTGTCCAGTGTGGTACTTTGCAAAGCAAGTACCACCTAGGATCCTCCTTTTGAGCTGAAACTTTGTGAATACATTCTCCTTAGTAGATGATCATCCTCGGCCAAAACTCACGCCCATTGGCCATGTGCATTTCTCGTACCGCTAATCAAACACTTGGCTGCTTATTCATGTTTGAGCATCGATCGGTCTCCTCGTGAGAATCTTACGTTGTGATTTTCTTCCTAGCACCTACCTAGGGAGTGCCCAACCCACTAGACATTCCTAGGCCACCCAGAACACATGGCAACGCCACGGCCACGCGGTGACCATGCGGTGGGCATGCGAGTTTACGTGCTCTAGAGTTGGGGGCCTCGGCCACCGCCCAAACCTCGATGTATCGCCACCAAACCATGTATTTATGATTAAATAGGTACTTATGTACCTAGAAATTATTTTTGGAAAAAATAAATAGCAAACTATGAGGCAACTGCAGTTCAAGTTTGACCCGCTTCCTACTGAATCGGCGGGAATTTGTCTTTTTCATCAGAGGTGGATCAAAAATTTTGACACCCAACCATTTTGTCGGTTGTGCATTAAATATGTCCTAGTATTTTATAAAATTGATTAGGTCCAATTTTGCAACAAATATATGGTAGGTCCTTCACAAAAAAAACTCATTTCAGACACTCGGAAATGGAAAATGGTTTTTTCGTCCAAAGAAAATGAAAACTTCCTTAGGCAACATTGTTTGCCATTTTAATATGCACCCTTGTGCACAATATGAGATCATTTGAACAAACTATGCCATGAATGTGGCCATAAGATTGATCATTTGGCTTGAAAGCCATGAATCTTTACACTTGATAACTCATTTCTGAGAACACTTTTTTAAAATAATTACCGTATTACAATTTTATTATTTTTCCTGGAAACTTGTTCACATATAATGACACAAAATGCGAAGGTTTTCCAATTTTTTGATTTTTTTGAATTTTTTATGCCCGTTTCAAAATGCGGTCAAAACGGGGGGCTTGACCATTCCTAGCTAGTGGTTGAATATTGGAATTTTTTTGGTGTTTCTCTGATTAAATAGATACTTATGTACCTAGAAATTATTTTTGGAAAAAAAATAAATAGCAAACTATGAGGTAGCTGCAGTTCAAATTTGACCCGCTTCCAGCTGAATCGGCGGGAATTTGTCTTTTTCACCAGAGGTGGATCAAAACTTTTGACACCCAACCATTTTGTCAATTGTGCATTAAATATGTCTTAGTATTTTATAAAAATGATTTGGTACAATTTTGCAACAAATATATGGTAGGTCCTTCACAAAAAAACCTCATTTCGGGCACTCGAAAAATGGAAAATGAATTTTCTGTGCAAAGAAAATGAAAACTCCCTTTGGCAACTTTGTTTGGAATTCCAAGATGCACCCTTGTGCACAATATGAGATCATTTGAACAAACTATGCCATGAATGTGGCAATACGATTGATCGTTTTGGTTGAAATACATGAATCTTCACACATGATAGCTCATTTCTGAGAACACTTTTTTAAATTAATTACCGTATTAAAATTTTATTATTTTTCCTGGAAACTTGGTCACATATAATGACACAATGCGAAGGTTTTCTAATTTTTTGATTTTTTTTTGAATTTTTTATGCCCGTTTCAAAATGCGGTCAAAACTGCGGGAATGACCGTTCCTAGCTAGTGGTTGAATCTTGGAATTTTTTTGGTGTTTCTATGATTAAATATATACTTATGTACCTAGAAATGATTTTTGGAAAAAATAAAGAGAAAACGACGAGGCAGCTACAGTTCAAATTTGACCCGCTTCCAACTGAATAGACGGAAATTTGTCTTTTTCACGAGAGGTGGATCAAAACTTTTTACACCCAACCATTTGGTCAATTGTGCATTAAATATGGCCTAGTATTTTAGAAAAATGATTTGGTCCAATTTTGCAACAATTATTTGGTAGGTCCTTCATAAAAAAACCTCATTTGGGGCAATCGGAAAATGGAAAATGGTTTTTCCGTGCACAGAAAATGAATACTTCCAGATGCACCCTTTTGCACAATATGAGATCATTTGAACAAACTATGCCAAGAATATGGCCATAAGATTGATCATTTGGCTTGATAGCCATGAATCTTCACACGTGATAGCTCGTTTCTGAGAACACTTTTTTAAAATAATTTCCGTATTACAAGTTTATTATTTTTCCTGGAAACTTGGTCATATATAATGACACAATGCGAAGGTTTCCCAATTTTTTTTTTGAATTTTTTATGCCCGTTTCAAAATGCTGTCAAAACGGCGGGAATGACCGTTCCTAGCTAGTGGTTTAATCTTGGAATTTTTTTGGTGTTTCTCTGATTAAATAGATACTTATGTACCTAAATATGATTTTTGTAAAAAATAAAGAGAAAACTACAAGGCAACTACAATTCAAATTTGACCCGCTTCCACCTGAATCGGTGGAAATTGTCTTTTTCACGGGAGGTGGATCAAAACTTTTTACACCCAACTATTTGGCCGATTGTGCATTAAATATGGCCTAGTATTTTAGAAAAATGATTTCGTCTAATTTTGCAACAATTATTTGGGAGGTCCTTCACAAAAAAACCTCCTTTTGGGCACTCGAAAAATGGAAAACGGTTTTTTCATCCAAAGAAAATGAAAATTTCCTTAGGCAACATTGTTTGCCATTCCAATATGCACCCTTGTGCATAATATGAGATCATTTGAACAAACTATGCCATGAATGTGGCCATAAGATTGATCATTTGGCTTGAAAGCCATTAATCTCCACACGTGATAGCTCGTTTCTGAGAACACTTTTTAAAAATAATTGCCGTATTACAAGTTTGTTATTTTTCCTGGGAACTTGGCCGCATATAATGACACAATGCGAAGGTTTCCCAATTATTTGATTTTTTTGAATTTTTTATGCCCGTTTCAAAATGCGGTCAAAACGGCGGCAATGACCGTTCCTAGCTAGTGGTTGAATCTTGAATTTTTTTGGTGTGTCTCTGATTAAATAGATACTTATGTACCTAGAAATGATTTTTGGAAAAAATAAAGTGCAAACTATAAGGCAACTACAGTTCAAATTTGACCCGCTTCCAGGTGAATCGGCGAAAATTTGTCTTTTTCACGAGAGGTGGATCAAAACTTTTTACACCCAACCATTTGGTCAATTGTGCATTAAATATGACCTAGTATTTTAGAAAAATGATTTGGTCCAATTTTGCAACAAATATATTGTAGGTCCTTCACAAAAAAAACTCATTCTGGGCACTCAAAAAATGGAAAATGATTTAAAAGAACTCATTTCTCATAACTCTTTAAAAAATATTTGTCATATTTTAATTTGTGATTATTCCTGAAAACTATAGTCAAATTTCCTGACACAATGAGAAGTTCTTTTAAAAAAAATTCAGGTCATAATAAAATAGCTAACATGATTTAGCACCTAACTTTTAGTCGATTATGACCAATTTAAATGGTCAAAATATCATACATGTATAATGCGTTCTGATTGGTTCAGGGGCCTTTCACGCGGATCGTGCATAATTCACCGTTGGATGCTCCTGGATCCAACGGATCCGCACCTCACCCTCTCACCCACCTACCGCGAGCTACGCCTAAAAAACCCACCGCACACCACTCCTCTCTCCCCGCGCAGCGAACCCTAGCGCTCCCGATCCAGATCCCTCCCCTCGCCGCCACCCACCCCTCCCCTCCCCACC